AGAGGATTATTGCTGCTCTTTGTAATAAATCTCCTGGGGACGAGGACCAAAAAGATGGCACTGAGTCAGGCATTAAGAAGGGTTTATTAACTTTTTTGCAGGCATGGTGTCAAGCTCAATGTGATGCAATTATTTCAAATTCGGGTCTTCAAGTTAGTTCATTGATGCTAGGTAGTAAAACTTTAGTTCACTTTACAGTGGAAGGAAAATTTTTTGACCAGCCTGGAAAGTTACAAGGACCAAAAGTTGGTCTTTTTAAACGACAACATAAAGCTGGTGAACGATCTGCTGACATCCTATTCATCCTTTCCATTACTGATGAGTCTATGCATGCCAAAAAGATGGATGCGTATGAAATATCTTTTGATCACCGCAAGGAAAATGGCGAAGACAAAAGCTTAGAAAGTTTGCTTCCAAAATTGCATTTGAGCGACGGTGTATGCATATATGCTGTTAATGAGCAAGTCTCTGACAAGAACTCTGGTTTGGCAATATCTTCACTGAACTGGATGGGTACAGCTGCATCTGATGTAATAAACAGGTTAACAGCTTTACTGTCTCGAAATTCTGTGCTTATGTTGAGTAACTATGAACTTCCTTTGCCCGGGCATGTTCTGATTTATGGACCTCCAGGTTCTGGAAAAACATTACTGGCCACAGTGGCTGCAAAATCTGTTCAAGATAATGTAGAAATTCTGGCTCACGTTGTCAATGTATGTTGTTCAAGACTGACTTCAGAAAAGCACTCAAATATTCGGCAAGCACTTTCAGGCTACATATCTGAAGCTCTGGATCATGCACCTTCTGTTGTTATATTTGATGATCTTGACAGCCTCATTTCATCTTCGCCTAATCCAGAAGTGCAGCAACAATCATTATATTCAGTGGGGCTCGCACAATTTCTTCTTGATATTATGGATGAATATGAGGAAAAGCAGGGAAGGATGTGTGGAATTGGCCCTATTGCTTTTATAGCTACTGCTCAATCATTGACTAATGTACCACAGACATTGAGCTCTTCTGGAAGATTTGACTGTCATGTTAAGTTGCCAGCACCTGCTGCTGCAGAACGTGCAGCATTGTTGAAGCATGAATTCCAGAAGCGCCACTTGGAATGTCATGATGATGTCATTTCAGACATAGCATCCAAGTGTGATGGATATGATGCATATGATATAGAAATACTTGTTGATAGGTCTGTACATACTGCTGTGGGTCGCTTCCTGTCCAGTGATTTGGGTTCTAAGGAGCAAGTCAAGCCCACTTTAGTTAGGGATGATTTCTTGCATGCCATGCATGAATTCCTTCCAGTTGCCTTGCGTGACCTTACTAAGCCTCCTTCTGAAGGTCGTCATTCTGGTTGGGAGGATATTGGTGGCCTTGATGACATCCGGAATTCCATAAAAGAGATGATTGAGTTGCCTTCTGAGTTCCCAAACATCTTTGCTCAAGCTCCTTTAAGGATGCGCACCAATGTTCTCCTATATGGCCCCCCTGGTTGTGGAAAGACACACATTGTTGGTGCTGCTGCTGCAGCTTGTTCATTACGGTTTATCTCAGTTAAAGGGCCTGAGTTGCTTAACAAATACATTGGGGCTTCTGAGCAAGCTGTTCGAGATATATTCTCTAAAGCAGCTGCAGCAGCACCGTGCCTTCTCTTTTTTGATGAATTTGATTCGATTGCCCCAAAGAGAGGGCATGATAATACAGGTGTGACTGATCGAGTAGTTAATCAATTTCTGACAGAATTAGATGGTGTGGAAGTCTTGACTGGTGTATTTGTCTTTGCTGCCACAAGTAGGCCAGATTTGCTTGATGCTGCACTTCTCCGTCCTGGAAGGCTGGATCGCCTTCTTTTCTGTGATTTTCCTTCAGAACATGAGAGGTTGGACATTCTTAGAGTGCTTTCAAGAAAGCTACCGTTGGCTGGTGACGTGGACTTGGGCTTTGTAGCTCGCATGACTGAAGGGTTCAGTGGAGCTGACCTCCAAGCACTTCTTTCAGATGCACAGCTAGAAGCAGTTCATGACCTTTTGGGTAATGAAGATGATAAGAGGAGCAAGAAGATGCCAATAATCTCTGACACTCTTTTGAAATCCATTGCCTCCAAGGCAAAGCCATCAGTCTCAGAATCCGAGAAGCGCAGGTTGTATGACATATACAGACAATTTTTGGATTCAAAGAGATCTATTGCTGCACAGGTATATCTCTCTCTCTCTCTCTCTCTTTGTGCATAAGTTTTTATAATCATGACGCCTGTTTTAACATCTACTACTTTTCAGTCAAGAGATGCCAAGGGCAAAAGAGCAACCCTGGCATAGGGATTTGCAAGAGACCGGGCCAACATATATGCAAATTAAGCCGTAATACCATTTTATTCGACAAGATTAGTAAAGGATATCCATATTTTCTCTTCCAGTTTTCTTCTTCAACCTTAAGCGTGTCCTATCCTGTTTTCTAGGTTCAGTCAGTAACTTAGCATTTGTACGAGGGTTTACTTTGTTGTATGATGAAAGCCAACAGGGCAGGGCTATATAATGTATCAAAGGTCTTTTTCTTTTCTTTTCCTTTTTACCCCTTGTCATTTATGGTCTCCTTTGATCTGTGGTGCAAGGCCCTTTCTTGCCACATCTTTTTGCTGCTGGAACAGTTTATGAATTGCTGTTCCAAACTGTGATATCTGAGCTGTGCCTTGTCCATTTGGAAGAAGCAAAGCTTAGAATAGCTTAACTTTGCACTTGGGATTGTTGTTTTTCTTTAATTATATTGGTACTGCTACCATGAAATACAACTGCAAAAGACTTTAATCTGCAGATGCATTTCCTTTTCTAAGTACAAAGGGACGTGGTACACCTCTGTTCTGTTGCTATACTCGTGCGACTGATGAGGATCCTATGAGTTTGGCTGGTGCTCCTTTTTTTTTTTCTTTTTTTTTTGAGAACAATAAAATTTCCCTTTTTCGTGTCAACTGAATCTTTGAAAATGATAAATTTACCCCCTTAGTTTTCTAAAAATAAAAATTATCCCTTTTAATGTGAACCCAGCATTTGACTAGTGGAAGGTACATTTGTCATTTTCAAAGAAGATTATCAGTCTGCAGCAACTGACATTTTAATGGCAAAGCAATTTTCTTTCAAAATAACAAATTTATCTTTTTCAATGTGAGCCCAATGCCAGAGGGAGAGTTGGGTTGGATGATAAGGTGGAAGGAATTGCAAGTAAGAGATCTGGTTCAAAACTTCTCGTTTATTATTTTTAAAAAAAGAAAAATAAACCCTCTTGCTTATTAAAAAGAAAAAAGAATCCGATGACAATTTTTAATCAATGAAACATATATTCGTCATTTGTGAGGGAAATTACTATGGCCATCGGTGCTAATGTTAACATCTTTTCTACTTTTTTTTAGTATAATTGGAAGGGTTCGAGTCTAAAATCTTTCACATATAATCCCTTTCCTCATATTATCTAACGCAACCCCTCCCCTTTATTCCACTACTTTTCAAAAAAAAGAAAACAAAAAGTGAATTCAATGTTAATTTTTAACCCGTGAAATATATATTCGTCATTTAAGAGAAAAATTGCAATTGTCACTTGTGCCAATTTTAATATCTTTTAAACTATATATATATATATATATATATATATATATATATATATATATATATATATATATATATATAACTTGTAAAATTTCAAATCTAAAATATATATATATATGTAACTTGTAAAATTTCAAATCTAAAACCTCTCATTATAATCTTTTTTCTCATACAATCTAATCCAATCCTCCCCTCCTTCTACTTGTTATATATATATATATGTAACTTGTAAAATTTCAAATCTAAAACCTCTCATTATAATCTTTTTTCTCATACAATCTAATCCAATCCTCCCCTCCTTCTACTTGTTCTACCTTAGCGGGGAAAAAGCTCAAACGGGAATGCACTCAATTGAGGTGGGCATATGCCAACGGGTAAACTACGCATATTCTTCCAATCAGTGGTAATATAAAAGCATTAAAGAGGAACAGATGGGCAGAAGGATCCCAAGAGGAATGAACAAAAAAAATTCGTTGCTGTCGCTTGGTGATTGGAAATCAAGGGAATGTTTTAAAGCAACTATTATTACTACTACACTACTACTTTTCAGATGTACTTTTTTATTTTTTGGGGCAAAAACTGGCATCCAATTCTTGCTGCTCCCTTCAACTTTTACCTGTTCTCCACAGAACCTTTCATGTGAATAATGCTCAAAAAAGATTGCCTCAGAATTGAGGTGCCTGTCTGGTTGCATGATCATGGAATAAGTTCTAACGTGAAAAGTCCACTTAGATCTAAAGTTGATATTGTACATGTCTGCATGATATTTCAACAGTAAACCAAATCTACGTGTCTGTTTTTATATTTTTTTGATGCGTCTGTATGACAAGTATCCATTGAACCTCTGTTAGCAAAACTTTTTTTTTTTTTTTTAATAAGGAATTCATTCACAAGATTTTCTTCTTCTTTCTCTCTTTTTTTTTTTATTTGACAGGATTTTGAGATATGAATAAATGGAATTGTTCAAAATTTTTAATTTTACCATGTTTAGATGATCTTGTTATTTGAAAAATTTCTATTCTTGAACATCAAATCTTATCTTATTAGCATAATTCCTTATCATAAAATCTTATCTTATTAGCATAAATATATCTTATTAGTTCCAATTTGGAATTGGATAGATTCAAAATTTTATCATGTGCTACACATTATCTTTATGGAATTAAATCTCTTAAAAATGACAAAATATGGTCTAAAGGAATTATGTATAAAATGAATATGGTTTTTTATTGGAGGAAAAAAAAAGAAACTAGTTTTTTTTTTCATTTTTGCAATTTCTTTTTTGGAAATTGAGAAAAAGCAAATTAGTCATTTAGTCCTGGACAGTTCCACTTCCATTACCGGTTAACCGTCCCATCATGTGACCAACCCAACTGATTATAATTAGCCTTCCATTCTTCTCACACACCAATACACCTTCAAAAACACGCACTACAGAGCACTCTGCGCATCTTTCTCTGTCTCCTCCTCCAACTCTGATTCCCAGCATTCGTTCCCATTAATTACATAGTAATTAATTTAACAATTGTTCCAACTTTTAAGCTTTTTCCGGTGCTCCTCATTCTGTCGGCGTCAATACATCCTCAAAGCCGTTGGATTCAAATTCCGGCTGTGTATTTCCGTTCTACGTCATGGCCGCAGCCGAGAGCCTGGCTAAGCTTTCCATCGATGGCGATGGTTTTCCACAAAATCTCCGGGAGAATCTGTCTGTTCTCTCTCCTCAACAGGTTGAGCTGGCGAAGATGTTGATAGAGATGGAGCAGAGTCATTTGTTCGAGCAGTGGCCCGAGCCAGGGGTCGAGGATGATGAGAAACGTGCTTTTTTCGACCAGGTAATTTCATTTTATGTTCTTTTTTTTTTCGTGAATTTGAATGTTGTCTTTTTTATTATATAAGCTTTGGTATCATTTATGATTTAGTTGTATAATCTGATTTTCAACGAATTTTAGTTCGAATGGTGGTTTGTTAAGATTGTTAATGAATTAGAATAATGCTGAATGATATTTTGAATGAGGAGGAAATTCATATGCTGAAAATGGAAATTGGATGGCTTTTTAGTTTCTAAATTTTGGAACTCAATCGTATGAAATAAGGAAAAAGATATGATTTTTGTTATATTGGTGAAATTTAGATGATTTTACATTTTTAATTTTGGAATCTAATTGTAATTAATAGAGGGAAGGACCTGATTTTTGTTCATCTGATGATTTGTTTTATAATATGGATGTGTATATGCACTTTCTTTATTCATGTACTTAGCATGTTGTTATACTAATACAAGGATAGTGGATATTTCGGGTTATTTCTGTAAAGACAGGATTTTTCGTGGTTCAAGGTTAAGATTTTCATTCTTAAATCTCTCTCTCTCTCTCTCTCTCTCTCTCTCTCTCTCTCTCTCTAATAATTCTTGGCTGTTGTGTCAAATGGATGGTTCTTCTGCCTTTTGATTTTGAGATAGTTGAGAAATTACGTCAGTATGTGGAACTAGTGCAGTCATTTTCCTCTGTTAAGTTTTTGAGGAGGGCATATTATAATTTTCTTGTTTCATTTTACTTTCTGTATGAATATTTTATTGTATTACATTCCTCTGGGAGCTTTTTTTCTCAGCAAGATTTTTGTGCAGATTTTATTTCTTTCAAAGATCCTCATGTGAGTTAATTGTTCCTTTCAGATTGAGCGACTCAATTCAAGTTATCCTGGGGGCTTGGCATCCTACATCAGAACTGCTAGAGAACTTCTAGCTGATTCAAAGGCTGGAAAGAATCCATTTGATGGATTTACACCTTCTGTAAGTAGATACTCATCTTTTGGATTCTAGAAAGTTGTGTATGCCAATTTATTTTCTATTGGTAGTTACTTTAAAGTGACTCTCTAACTTTCTGCATATGATGCACTTTATGGATTTCAGTGTTTCATTCCCTTTTATTGCTTTTATCCCATAATGTCATATCTCATAGGCCATTAGGCTGTGGGTACGGCAACTTTTAAGGCCAGATATGTAATATAATCGAACAGTCTGGCAAAATTATGTTGTTTAAACAATTCGCCACACATGTTGAACAGCGTGAGCAAGTGCCACCAATGAAATTTTGGGGGGGAGGATGGTGGTGGTGGTGTATGCAACTAGGCCATAGCTTTGGTTTGATTTTGTTGAAGTGTGTAGTTATTCAGGGAAGCAATGTGTTATGAGGATTATTTTACAATAATTATTCTGGTAACTGCCTCTATAAAGCTTAGTATTGTTTTAATTTTTGATTTCTCTGAAACACTCATGTGATTTATGGAGTGGAGTATTCACTGCTCCTTGATTTTTTTTCTTTCCTTAATGTAATTTGACTTGATATGCTAAGGAATAATATTTCGAATTGCGATATCATGGGTAATGGTCCAGATGAGCAAACAAAACAGATATCCCATTACAGGTCAATAAGTGATACTTTACACAATAATACAGCCTATTGTGGATTCCATGTTCTCTGCAGAAGGCTGCTGAATTCCATATTCTTTTACCTTATAATTTTTTCAGAAGCATATTTCCTTCTTACTTGGAAGTTTGAAAGATTTGCAAATAAATGATCTTAAGTGTTGAGAACGTTCAGATTCAAGTACAAGTCAATTGGACAAAGTAATCAAATCTTTAAACTTGTGGTAGTAGTTTTCAGGAATTGGAATCTTATATATTGCCCCAAGACCATTCAACTTTCAACTTTGTCCTGGTTGAAAACTTTGGTTGCTATGAAGCATGTAGTTCCAAATGACATATATGCATATTCAGCAGAATGCTTAGAGTATTCGCTAAATCTGTTAGTGTAATCCACAATCAACTCATGTCATGGTGGTTATTACATGAGCTTATGAGTTTGGACTCTTGAGTGTCCTTTGTGCACAAGCAGTGATGATGACTGATCAAACAAGTTTACATGATATTTCCACAGGTTCCATCTGGAGAAGTTCTGACTTTTGGTGATGACAACTTTGTTCAATATGAGGAAGCTGGTGTTAGGGAAGCTCGAAAGGCTGCATTTGTCCTAGTTGCTGGGGGCCTTGGAGAACGTCTAGGATACAATGGTATAAAGGTAAAACATGTAGACTGGCTGTTTATGAGCATTTCGGCTCTGCATAATTCCAGATTCAGGATGCATTAGTTTCCCAAGGATTCAAGCAAATAGTGTCTTTTATTAGATTGATGTTATAAATTCTTGCTTGATTCAGAAAAATGGATCTGCTTTTTATTAGATTCTTACAGTTTTATTGTCATGAAAATAGTTGGCAGTTTAACATCTTTTAATTATCATCCTTTACCTCTTATAGGTAGCTCTTCCTTCAGAGTCTGTTGCCGGAACATGTTTCTTGCAGCACTATATTGAATCAATTTTAGCTCTACAAGATGCTAGCTGTAGGCTAGTTCAAGGTTTGCTTTTCTTTGTAGCTTTTTGGAGTGGGAATTTATACTCTAGTCATCTTATTTTGGACAGAAATTTTGCATTTCCTGCACCTTTTGCTGCTGTTTGTATAATGATATATTACCTTGTCTTTGTTTGCTTTAACTTGCCCATTACAACCATTTTTTGTCAGTGATATTTAAATTTGTACGAAGTCATTATAACCACATGTTTCGACTCAATCTGTTAATAAATATTATCCGAGAAAGCCTGCATAAATTATTTTTTCCTCCATTTAAATCTCTGTTAAATCTTGTCTTTATGATGCGACGGAAGATCATATTTGTCTGAATGACCTCATCACATATACTATTCGTCTTCCTCGTCATGTACAAACTGTTGTTATATATTATTTCACTGTTCATAGTAGGTCACTTCTGTTAATCTTCTTCGCTAAGTTCTGATCAATTTTTAGTGAATTTTTGTCTATTTCCTTGTATTCTCATCATTGTGTTGGTTTTTCATATTAGTGTTCCTTTTCCTCTGATTGGTTTTGGAAAAGAAACTTGTGGAGTATGGTCTTGTTATAGTTTGATAATGCTTTTAATGATACTTAAAGACTGACTGATGTTTCTTTTCCTAGTTTCTGGATCCTACATAATTTCCAGTGATTAGTCCTTTTTGAATTTTCCTTGTTAAAATCTTTCCGTTGAAAATGGTTTTTTATATCAAAGAGATTTATTTATTTCTAAGTAATTAGGACTTTGCTCTTCACTCTCATGCAATTAGGTAACTGCCCTGCTGAGATTCCTCTAGTTATAATGACATCTGATGACACACATTCAAGGACAGTAGATCTCTTGGAATCTAATGCTTATTTTGGGATGAAACCAACTCAGGTGAAGCTACTGAAGCAGGTGAGCCCTTATACATTGCATATATGAGTGATAGTCTAACATTTCAGTGTTAACATTTTTCTGGATTTATGGCAGGAAAAAGTTGCTTGTTTGATTGACAATGATGCCCACCTTGCATTGGAGCCAAACAATAAATACAGAATACAGGTAGGTTTTTCTGTGTTTTGAGTTGATTATGGATGCAATTTCAAGCAGGCAATTGATTTATCATGAAATTTCTGCTTATCTGATCTTTTTTCAGACAAAACCTCATGGTCATGGTGATGTTCACTCACTTCTTTATTCAAGTGGCCTTCTGAATAAATGGTTGGTTTTCACACCCTGAACTTGCCCTGTAATCTTTTCCTGTTTGTTAAACTCTCCATTTCTTTACATAGTTGGGACTATTAATGTTTCAGCGGACTAATGCTTGAGGTCCAAGAAGGTGATACTTATCAGCAATAATATACATTTGAACTTTAATATTTTGGTGTGATCACAAGGCCATTTTCAGCATGAAATAAAATTACTTTTTGTATCTCTACCAAAATTGGCTTTGGATTCGTCTTTTGTCATCTGGATTGTAAGTAGTCTAGTCAATTGGTACTGAAGAATGTAGTTTACCTGGTCTTCTGCAAAATAATTTACATGGGTAGCATCAGCTTTTGAGACTTTCTGGTAATATTATTCTGACACTCATAAAATAAGAAGCAATTTTCATGTTTTGTGTTTTCTATCTTTCAGGCATGATGCTGGTTTAAGGTGGGTTTTATTTTTCCAAGATACTAATGGTCTCCTGTTCAAGGTTAGTGAAAATCATTTTGTGGATTTTGCCTTCAGTATGGAAGAAATTTGTTTGGAAATGAATTCGCTGATTTTCCCTTCAATTTAATTTCTAGGGTATTCCAGCTTCATTGGGTGTTAGTGCCACTAAAGGGTACCATGTTAATTCTCTTGCTGTTCCTCGCAAAGCAAAAGAAGCTATTGGAGGCATTACTAGACTTACTCACAAAGATGGTAAAGTACATATCATGTTTATGACATTCCTCTGCACTGTTGTACTTCATGACAGTGACATTTTCTGCTCTAGTGGATTGGACTTGCAATTTCTCTTTATTATGAATTGTCCCATTTTATTGTCTGCTGTCTTAATTTCTTCCGCTCATAGTCAGATTATTTTGGGCAAGATTCGCCAGTCAGTGCTAGGAGCCTGATTTCAAGTATGGTACATCCTTAGGCAATTGGCCTAGTTTATGATTGTGTCTCTTTGATCTTTTAGGCAGTATGGACTTGATCCACATTCATAAATTGTAGTAAAATGTTGACAGAATCAGAAAATCTGAAATATTCTGCAGCTTGCGATTTATAGAAGATATTTTCATTGTTTTTGTTTTCGCCTTTATGTTTCCATAGCTTCCATTGTAGTGACTAGAAAAGCAGGAGCTTTGCTGGATAAAGTCTTCAATCTATAACTGCTGGTATTCAAATATCCCCATAGCAGTGCAACATGGTGAATTATAACAATTGACTATATTGTTTGATGAGATGCCCTCTGTGTGAGACAATTTTTTCAGATAGACGAGAAGGTAGGGTGACCTCTTAAAGGGAATAGGCATGGAAATAACGTTCATGTACTTTGTTCATTTTAACATTATACCAATTGTTACACTCGATAAATCTTGATTTAGTACGCTAATTAATAACGTAATCAACAGTCAATTACAAAAAATCTGTGTCTTGATTTTGCATTTGTTACCACACTTTTAGGTCTTTTCCAAGCCATCGACTATTTGTAATTAACTTGGAAAACAGTACCATGGACGCACAACTACCGCTGTAGTTTTCTTGTTGCTTTTCTAGTGCATTGTGTCTGTGTTGTTAAAACTATGTTCTGTGACAAAGATAATTGGCATCAGGAACATGTTTCTGTAACTATCTGCAATAACCTACTTTTTTCCTTTTGGATCTTTTGTGCTTCTCAAATTGATATATTGGTTTCAGGGAGGACAATGGTGATTAATGTGGAATACAACCAGCTGGATCCTTTGCTTAGAGCAACGGGACATCCTGATGGTGATGTCAACTCTGAAACAGGCTATTCTCCGTTTCCTGGAAATATAAACCAAGTATGTCCTTTGCAGCAGTTTTCTCTGTATTTTTGTTTGTTTTTCCCTACAACTAGTATTATTTGATGGGAACTGAGGTGTCTCATATTTTGTGATTGAGATATCTGCCTTTTCTTGGTGGTTTTAAGTGTTTACGATAGTTCTCACTGATGTTCAACTCAGGAGTTGTTTTGTTGGTAAAATTCAATTTGTATCATGAACATGCTATCCTTTTATTTATACTTTTTGCTTTCCTTACCAACTGATTGCTTCTGAGATTTACTATATCCTTGTGCACCAAGGTAATTTGGGGTGTTCAATTTACCTTGCTAGATGGATTGGTAATTTTTGATGACTTTGTTTGTGAAACTTATTGCCCATCCATCTCTGAGGCTGGTGTTCAGCTTATCTTTTGTTGAGCATTACAAGAAAAAGGACACTACTTGTGCCATCTCTTTACTTGTTTTCTGAGGCCAATGCAGACTTTCTCCCTTTCAGCACTCCTAGGTGGGGGAAAAAGATTTTCTTAGTTTGTGTTTCCACTATTTGCTTGCATGTTAAAAAGTTCAAGTAATCTATAGGATCTTTGAAACTATTATCTTTGAAACTATTACATGAAACCTGAATTGGGCTTCTAGTTGCTTGTCTGGTGCCTGCTTTTTGAAGGTAGGATTTTCTAGCGGCATATGGAATGTTAAGATTTTGATACCCTTTTGATGGATGGTCAAGCTGATTATGTGTGATATGATCCTTTGGATGATATATTTCCAGCAATAAGATGATTACTGATTCTGTGATTTTATTATTTATGCTCTTGCAGTTGATTTTGGAACTTGGCCCATACATGGAGGAGCTTACCAGAACAAAAGGTTCCATAAAGGAGTTTGTCAACCCCAAGTAAGTGCATTCTTTCTTTGTGGCTTTGTTCTACTTTGCAGGTCTGCAAGTGTTTAGCTTAAAGTGATGGTTTCCTCATGCTTGTTCCTTGGAACTTAATTTTGATTTTTATTCACACTAACCTCATTCTGTTTCAAGAAGAATACAGTTTATACTGTAACACCTTTTGAGAAAACTGAAAAAATGATGCATCCTACTCATTGCACTGGAGAATATATGTGAGTGCTGCAAACTGTAACGGAAAGATTTAGTTTTGTGACAAGTTATTCATGTACAGAATTGTTTCACAGGGAGTTGCACTTCTTAATGATGTTGGTCTTTCCTGTCTATTTCACATAGTAGTGTCTGTGCTTGTTTAGTTCATCTTGTTCCGACAGATATGATATCGATGTTGTTCATAGAGGGTTTAGTACTTAAGATGGTTCCTGCACACATTTTAAAGAGAATTAGAGGAACTTACCTAGAATTATGTGGATTATTTTGGGTGGTCTAACACACAGATAGACACTGATAAACCAAGATTTATCAAATATATTCTCAGCAAACTGTGTTAAGGTTAGATGTTCTTATGTCATATGTTTCATTAAGAAATTTTTATTGCGTATGTTAAAGAAATTAAGCTGTGTTCTGGTGAGGGTGGTTCAAGTGGTAGATCTAAGAAACAAAGAACCTTGGTTCCTAGAAGAAACCTCATTCTTACTTGAAAACTGTAAGACCTGTTTTACTTGCACTTCAAATGTATGTATCATATGTTATCTCCTGTTATTGTTAATCTTGTGAAGTTGCTACTATGACTATTGTTACTTCTAATATTGTAATAATCAATATCGTTGATACATGAGTATTTGATATTATCATGATTAATTTATTATAGCTGTTGACAAAAATTCGAAGGAACTTTTACTCTTAATCCTATAGTCTCTCACAAGTGATCACAATTGCTTTTACTCTTTTCTGCATGAAAAATTAATTAAGAGATGAAGAGTTGGTCAATAATGACATCTTAAGCTTTTCCCCAAGAATGCTTTTTTTCAAGACCTTTTTAGTGCAACCAATGTGATGTATCAAAGTAAACAAATTTGCAGGTAAACACTGTTGTGCTGAGCAATTATTCTTTTTCCCCTTCCATGGTTGTGATCCCAGTCCTGGAGCATTCTGAACATTCTACTTGTTTTGTAATTAAGAACCTGGAATTAAAAAAAATGGAATTAATCAATCCTTTGATATCTTTAGGCTGTTTTTGTCCCATATTACTTGTTGACCGATTTTAGTATTACCTTTCTCACTTCAGATATAAAGATTCTTCCAAGACTGCATTTAAGTCATCTACTCGGCTTGAATGTATGATGCAAGATTATCCAAAGACATTACCTCCTTCAGCAAGGGTTGGCTTTACAGTAAGCAGAATGACAATTCTTTCCTGATGATGCCTTGTTTGGATGTCTGGTTTTACTATTTTTCAGATCATCATAATGGTTTATCAAGTTTTTAATTCATCACAGGCGATGGATGCATGGCTTGCTTATGCCCCTGTAAAGAACAATCCCGAGGATGCCGCTAAGGTATGATGAGCTCTTAGTTTCATGTTTTCCGCTGCTCCTTCAAACAGTTGTCAACAATTTATCCTCAGATATGCTGAACCTTTCAATTTCTGTTAGGAAGTAATTTTTTCATATTCTCATGCCTGCAAAAAAAAATGGTAAATTGATGTTCATTAAATAGTGTGATTTGATTACTGGGAAATCATGTCTTTCTTGGAAATGTACATAATTTTCTCAGTGATTATTGGGTAATAAAAATATTCATGTTGGATACAATTAGAAGCTTGCTGATTAAGTAGAATGTCAGGATTATTATTTTATTGGTTTTGCATATGCAGAATTGGATTCTTCATTTTTAAGTCACTTATTCATAATGATCTGCTGTTCATGCTTTTTGGTATATTTCAAACTGATGGTTGTTATCTTTGTTTATCTTTGCATGTTTCAATGCATATATGTGTCCTTGTACACTTTTCTGCATAATGAGGTTTCTTGATATCTTTCCCTATGGAGCACAAATATCAATACGCATGCATCAGCTCAATAACAAATTGTGACTTTTGGTACCCAGAGATTGAAACTAAGAAATCAATAAGTAGGAAAAGGTTGCATGGTAGGTTGTTATAGGTTGGCACTGTAGAGGTGGTGAAGACATGCACAAAAGGTTGATTCAATTTTGTGGAAGTGGGAAAATTTAGTAATTGAAAATTGGCAATGCATGGAGGATAAAAAGTCAATTCTAGTTTTTGTTCTTAAAATATTTCACCCAACTTTAGGGATTTAAGTTGGTGCAGAATGATAATTTGCATCAGTTGCCTTTATTTGAGGTTTTTGCTAAGTTATTTGATACGTTAATTGCTGACAAGACAGATGGCTTTGCATTTTTCTATTGTTTGTACTGGAAAAGTTGCTGATATCACAAGAATAACTAGTTTAGATACAGTTAGGTGGTTTTAATTTGCATCAGTTGCCTTTATTTGAGGTTTTTGCTAAGTTGTTTGATACGTTAATTGTTGACAAGCCAGATGGCTTTGCGTTTTTTCTATTGTTTGTCCTGGAAAAGTTGCTGATATCACAAGAATAACTAGTTTAGATACAGTTAGGTGGTTTTAATGCCCACTACGGAATGATGATTAACTGATAAATTACATGTTTGGTGCTCTTATTCTCACTAATGTGGCTTAATGATGCTAAACTAGTCAGAATGAGTAATTTTGGAAGGATATTAGTTCATCACTTGAAGCTAATGAAAGTTTTTTTGGTAGCAGGGCTATGCAAGGTTGAAGAAATCTTTTCATAATTAATGTGCAGTACTTGTAACTAAGTGTTATTTTATTACCAATCAGTCACTCTCACAATTGCTTCTTTCTGGCAACGCATTTCTTTTTTGTTTACCTGAGTCTCAGTTTAATATCTTAATGTATTCTTCTTCTCACTGGAAGGTCCCCAAAGGAAATCCATACCATAGTGCTACTTCAGGAGAGATGGCCATATATCGGGCAAATAGCCTCATCCTAAGAAAGGTATTAATTGTTATTCAGAAACTTCAAATTTGATATTCTGTTGTTATATTTCATGCGTACTAAAATGGGTATTTTTTTTAAAAAAATTTTAACAACAGAGAGGGGGGGGGGGTGTGTGTTTAGGATTAACACGTGTTCAGTTGAAAGTGGATAACAGTTGACTTTTGTGGGTTTTCATTCGCTTTTACAAGGTTTGGAGGCCATAATAGTTACGGATGCTTGTAGGGGCTGCGCTTACCAAAGTAGAGGACACTTGCACAAATTTTATTTCTACAGTGAAGTGGCACTTTAAGCTGTCAATTGGATCATGGAATCATTAATCCTCTTTTGTCTTAACTTACTGACTATATTTGTATTAAGCATTACCTGTGGATAAGACAAGCTGAAAAGGTCAAAGAGACTTCATAATACAACTTCAGGATTTGGTTATTGGATGTCATTGTCTCTAAAGCATTACTAATTTCCTTGCTGGAAGCCTTTAGACATTGTTATTGCAAACGAATCATTAGTCAGGTTAATCATTATAAATGAGAATAGGTGACGGTAGAGAAATTTCTTCTACCTTGTGCAGATCTTGCAGATGATAATTTAAATGTCTTGTGTTCTTGGACAGGCTGGTGTTAAAGTAGGTGACCCAGTTTTGGACACATTCAACGAACAAGAGGTGGAAGTTTGGCCTCGTATCGTATGGAAGCCACGGTGGGCAATCACATTTGCAGAAGTTAAAAGTAAAGTGAGCGGAAACAATACTGTTACAGATAGGTCTACGATAGCTATCAAGGGGCGTGATATTTTCCTTGAGGATCTCTCCTTGGATGGAGCTCTTCTTGTTGATGCTGTCGATGGAGCAGAGGTATGATTTAACTTCAACAACGAACATGGAAGCTAAAGACAAACTACCATAAATAAGTATACTACTCCAAGAATTTACTGGATTAACTAATATTTTGTTGCCCTCTATGAACAGGTTAAAGTCAGTGGTTCTGTCCGAAACAAGGGTTGGATCATTGAGAAAGTGAATCATAAAGATACTTCTGTGCCTGAAGAAGTAAGGATAAGGGGTTTTAAATTCAACAAAATTGAGCAGTTGGAGAAATCATTTGGAGAACCCGGAAAGTTTGAATTGAAGCCTTAACTCCAATTTTCTGTACACAGGTTTCTACTTTGTCTTTAATTTGCTTTATTTAGGCAAGCAAGCTATACTTCAACCAAGATGAGATTGTTCTCAGCTCGCTTCTTGTACAAATTACTCTCTATTGTTCGGTCAGTGTTCTCAACTTGGGTTCATCTGATTGGATTTAAGCGGCTTCTTTGTATTTTCATGTTTTACTGTCTACTCTTAGCGAGGGTGTGATCAAAAGCTTTTATATCAGGAATACATCTCTAAACGCAGCCTAAAGTAAGGTTTTTGCCAGGTGAATTGATGTATGTACAAGTATTTTTTTTTTCATTCTTTTCACCATATGTGGTATCTCTACAGAAGTTTTTCTTTATCTTTTTATTGTTGTACGTTTTGTCTTCTTCATGATCCAGCCAAATCCTGCCTTTTTATATCCCTTTAATTTGTGGTAAAGGAGAATGTTGATAAAATTGCAAATTGAAAGTCGTCTTGTTTTTAATAACCATACCTGATGCCAGCAACCAACGACACAGTAAGAACCATAGAAATTGTATCAGCACATTGGATGTCACTCTGAGACAAGATTAGCTTGGGGTCAGATTAGAATCAACTGCACTTCCTAATTCATAGAAAGGGAAAAAGAAATAAAGAGTTATTTCAAATTCTCAATGAATGTGTAATTTTGACGCAGTTCTTACAATTCAAATAAAATATTTAGGTTTTTAAATTTCACCAAAACTTTAAATTGATCTAATTTCGGGAACTAATTTTTTTTCTACATCTAATTTGATTCCAGCCCAAAATAAAGCCAAGGTGGCCTTGCTCTCATTCTCCATCACAAGGCAAAAAACCAAACAATTTGCTGTCATGACAGTGACTAAGGCAACAAAAAATGGAAAACTTACCGACATATTAATTGCTTCAACGTTCAGTATGTGATTTAATTTAAAGTCTTTAAGAACAATGATCTGCCCATACCTGTCAGCATTTAGAGCTGGCACGTGCTAAAATCTATGAACACATTTTAATATATTTGAGAGACAATTTTTTTTTTTTTGATGAAAATTCTCCTCAAGTCGACAGCTCACAGCAAATGAAAGGCATTTCTTTTCCTCCCCCCACAATTGCTTGATCCCCAGCACGAATGTCTTGTTGGCACTTGGCACCAGCATGTCTTGTCTGAGTGCCAATGATTTACAGAGAATTTTTCAGAAGCTTGACAAAAATGGTGCTGGACTGATAAGCATCGATCAGCTGAAATGGCTTCTCGAGAAAATTGGCTTCCAGACCAGTATTGATGACCTTCAAGCCTTGATGGGCAGCGGGAAATGCCTTGATTCTATTGATTTTTTCTTCTTCTATGATATTGTCATCGAGAAGCAAAAGAAGGGAGGTGATGAAGCCAGTGATGACTTGAACGATGATGGTGATCTAGTCAAGGCTTTCAAGGTATTTGATTTGAATGATGATGGATTCATCTCATGTGAAGAACTTCAAAGTGTACTATCAAGATTAGGATTATGGGATGAGCAGAATTGCCAAGATTGTAAGAGAATGATTAGCATGTATGATATGAATTCAGATGGCCTGCTTGATTTTGAAGAATTCAAGTTTATGATGCTTTCTGATTTTAGTTAAGTTTTCCATGCATTTTTGTAAAAATATAAACCAAGTTATGATTGATTGGTTAGTTTTATTCAATGACCACATGTCATTTGTTTATTGGCTAGTTTTGTTGGCAAGTCTAAAGTTGACCACATGTGATCAAATCCCGTAATATTAGTCATAGTAGAGTTAGAAGTCTCGTGTCTGGTCATTGTACGAAGTAGAAGTTGCCTCTAGTTTTGGTCCTCCAGTGTAGCCTCGTTGTTTTGTTTTCACTTGTAAAAAGTTGTTGCCGCAACTTCGTTTGATTTATTGAGAAAGTTCTTTGCCTCTACATCGTTTTTTCCTTTGATTGTTCACGTGGGTTTATGATTTATTATCAATTTAGATCCGTCAAAGTGGTATTAGACCTACCGTAGATTAAAATATGGCAAACTCTAACCCCAATATCGTTTGTTCTGTTAAAAAACTCAAAATAAAGGCGAAGTTTAATTTTTGATAGAAACAAATGATAACCCATCTTAAGATATATAAATTACATCGATATATTGAATCTGCACTTGTTCAGGATACTAGTGAGAATGATAAGGTAAAAGATAGTTTGGCTTTGTCATAGATTCATCAGGCAATTAACCGGTTAATTTTTAAAAAAATTGTTACGACTGATACGGCAAAGAAGATTTGGGATATATTGGAGAAATCATACAAAGGGATTCCCTTAGTCAAGTTTTAATAATTAGAGTAGTGATTGACGGGCGTACCTCAGTCAACTCCTCCTTACTGTGTCGATGACTGAGGTACGCCAGTCAATCACTACTCTAATTGAGTAATAATCTTAGGTACGCCCGTAAGGCTTAATTCCCCAATTGCCTTACGTATTAGAGGAGCCCCATTCTAACCAAATAAAACACTACCAGGGTTATTTTAGATTAGCCTGCATATTCCCCTGACACAAACCCCAATCACTATTTTAGAGCAATTAAACAATTACAGATTTAACGCTCTAATTGACATCAGGTTGCTAAATTAATTCAACGTCTGGGCCCAAGATATTCAATTAACAAAACAATCACAAACACTACAAACAGAGAACATGCAAATACCAGTAAATAAGAGGAATAAATAAAATTAATTTGATCTCATAATTTTTAGATGAACCAAAGTCTCCGTTGTTCCTTGACTAGAAAAGGGGATTTAGTTCATCCTTGGTGAATCAATCTCACGCAGATTTGCAGAAGTGATTTCCGCGTACATCGTTTCGCAATTAAGATGATTCAATTCGGTGGAATAGAGAACAATCAATAAGACGAAAAAGTTTAAAGCTAAAAGTAATGAAAAATGGTCTGTCGAATCTTCCTATCTAATTCCTATCTACATAATTGTCTCCTCTCATACGGCTACTAAGAGCAATAATAAAGGAAGACTCCTAGTCTTTGTTGACTTCTATTTCCTCTTTTGCCACGGCCAACAAATTAGGAGATCTCCTAATTGGCACATCTCCTATTTGTGCTAAGCTTCCCTTGTCAATTCAAATCAATCGAGCAACTAATGGAATGTTTGCGGTCCCATGTTGCACTTCCAATTGGCAGTCGGTGTCACGCGTCTTTCCCGCATTTTCTGGACACGTTCAGCCCTAACTTGACGCGACTACGCAAACAGCAATTGGAGTGAAAAATTTGCACAGTTTCGCCACATTTTGTTCCAACTCCCTGTAATAAGCACAAATACCAAAAGTAAATAGAATCTGACAATTAATCCACATTTGCTAAGGTAATAGGGGAAATTAATTACAAAATAAAATAGCAAAATTGCAATCTATCAGGATATATTGGAGAAAACATACAAAGGGATTGACAAGACCCAACAAAATAATTTGATGATGTTGAAGAGAAAATTTGAACTTGTGACGTTGGAGAAGTCGGAATCTATTGAATCATATTTTTCTTGTTTGTCAAATATAAAAAATGAGATGAAACTCAATCAGTATGACCTTCTTGATAGAACATTTGTGGAGAAAATTCTCAATACTCTATCAATGAAATTTGATCATGTGATAACTGTGATCCAAGAAATGAAGGATTTGGAGGATTTGAGTATTGAAGATTTGCATGGACCATTAATTCTGCATGAACAAAGAATTAATGGAAAGTTGAAAGATATCCCGAAGAAGAACATAGTAGAGAAGGTGTTGCAAACACAGTTGAATTTGAGAGGCAATAAGATACAAGAGAGTAAGAATCCAGTCAGAGGAACAGAGGTGGTTACAATAACAAAGGTCGTCACGACAACAATAATAGAAGCAGAGGAGGTGCATCAAATCCTAGACGTTGTAAAGATAATAATTTTAATTTTAGAGGTTGTCCTGGTAGAGGCAAAGGTGGTAATTTTGACAGATGGGCAAAGGTAGTAATTTTAGTAGAGGAAATAATTTTAATCAAAATAATTTTGGACAGAGAAGTCAATGTTATAATTGTGAAAATTTGGATTATAGACAATTTGAATGTAGACTTGAAGAAAATATAAATAGAAATTTTCAAACTAATGTTGCTTACAATCAGGTACAAGATAATAATAATAAAAAATTGAAACTTTATTATTCGTCTGTAGTGTTGTTAATATGATTGATAAAAATAAATGGTCTTTGGATAAGGCTGCCGTAACCATATGTCTAGTAAGAAAGAATTATTTGTTGAATTTGATGAATATGTCCATGGTGAAATTAAATTTGGGATACTATTTTATTAGTGTTTGGCAAGGAAAAAATTCCTATGAGCCTGAAAAATAGGTCTACTGATTTTATTTCTGATGTTTTCTATAATCCTGGATTACATCATAATTTGTTGAGTATTGACCAATTGTCTAAGAAAAAAATATGATATTCTTATCCGAAATGGCACTTGTACCATTTTTTATAGAAATATTGGAATGATACCTAGTGTACCAATGATTTCAAATCGCTTATTTTCACTGAATTTAAGTTCTGCCAATTTTTTCTGTTTGAGTACGGTGATAGATGACAGTAATTGGTTATAGCATATGTGATTTGGTCATTTAAATTTTGATAATTTAAGATTTTTAGCCAATAAAAAAATAATTGGTGGGTTGCCTAATATTAAAAATTCTGGTAGAGTCTGTGATATATGTGTTTTAGGAAAACAACATATGGATGCTTTTCAAACTGACAAATCATGAAGGGTCAGAAGATCATTAGAAATTATTCATTCAGATTTATGCACAGTAGATGTTCCTTCTAATGGTGGTTTCAGGTATTTTATTACCTTTATTGATGATTTTAATAGAAAAACTTGAGTGTATTTTTTGAGACAAAAATCTGATGCCTGTAACATTTTTAAAAGTTTTAAGACTTTTTGTTGAGAGGCAAAGCGAGTGTCATATTAAAATTTTGAGAATAGATAAGGGTTAGGAATATTTGATGTGTGATGATTTTCTTGAAAAAAATGGGATACAACATCAGTTGTCTACTAGGTACACTTCCCAACAAAATAAAGTACCAGAAAGAAAGAATAAAAAAAATTTGGATATGAATGATGAGGTATATGTTGAAGTTGAAAAATATGCCAAAATCTTTTTGAATAGAGGCAGTTTCTTGTGCAATTTATTTATTAAATAGGTATCCTACCAGAAATGTTTTCGAAAAAACTCCTAAAGAAATTTGGAGTGGTAGAAGACTATTTATTGGTCTTATCAATGTTTTCAGATGTTTTATCTATTCCCATATTCCTGATCAATTAAGAAAGAAACTTGATGACAAAGAGAAGAAATGTGTTTTTATTGATTATAGTGAAATCTCCTGAATTTACTGGTTGCATAATTCTATGACAAAAAAGGTGATAGTGAATAAAGATATGACTTTTGACAAAAAAGTATTTGAAACTAATCTACTAGAGATCCTAAAACAGCAGAGGTGACTCTAAATAATCAACAAGAGGATTCTAATGATGATGTTCAACCATCACCAATTGCTTAGGGTCTAAGACTGAGTTAACTAGACATTCACAGCATTAGTGATAGTTGTTAATTAGTCTATAAGATTATGTTATTACACCCGATGATGCTCCTTCTGATGAAAATATTATTAATTTTGTTTTGTTTGCAAATTATGATCCAATTGTGTATGAGGAGGCAGCCCATGATGATCGTTGGATGAAAGAGGAAGAAATTCATGCGATAGAGAAGAATGACACTTGGGAGTTTACATTTCTTCTAACCGGTAAAAAAGTCATTAAAATAAAGTGGTTATACAAGACAAAATTTAAACCCAAGGGAAAAATTGATAGATACAAGGCGAGATTAGTGGTGAAAGAATACAAACAGAAATTTGGGATTGGCTATTTTGAAGTGTTTGCACCTGTTGTTAGGTTTGACATAGTCCATATGATAATTTCTCTAACTGCTCAAAATAACTGAAAAATTTATCAAATGGATGTAAAATCAGCTCTCTTGAATGGAGTTCTGAATGAAAAAGTATATATGAAGCAGCCTGCAGGTATTGAAGATTGTAAATCCTACCTACTTTAAAAGTTTTGTAGGAAATTTGAGGTATTTGACATCTACGAGACTAGATATCAATTTTGCTGTTTGTTTCATTAGCAAGTTCATGAAAAATACATGTCAGTCACATTTGCAGGCAACTAAGAGAAATTTGAGACATATTGAAGGTACTTGCAGTGATGACATTTTTTATTCAAGAAATGATCCAATTGAATTGTTTGGCTACATAGATAGTGATTGGGCAAGTGATATAGTAGAGAAAAAGAATACTTCAGGGTATGCATTTTTTTATTGGTTCTGATGTGTTTTCTTGGAGATCTAAGAAGTAACATGTGATTGCAAGCGGAGTATATTACAGCGGCAAATAGTACTACTCATGCTTTGTGATTGCGTCGCATGCTTGGTGTTTTACAACACAAGCAGATTGATCCTATGGAAATATATTGTGATAGTAAGTTAGCGATTGAGTTATTCAAGAATCCAGTACTTCATAGGCGTAGTAAATATGTTGATATTAAATATCACTTCATATGTGAATTGGTTCGAGAGAGGGAGATCAAAATTGATTATTGTATAATTGAAGAGCAACTGGCTGGCATTTTCACCAAGGCATTGAAGATGGCGACTTTTGTCAAGTTGAAAAAGATGTTGGGCATGAAAAAGATGTTTGTCAAGTGGATTTATGATTTATTATCAATTTGAGTCCATCACTTCTGTAAAGAGAACAATTTTTTGATAAGTATTTTAGAAATGTATGTCCCTTTTATTCTTTTTTTTAAAAAAAAAAAACATTT